CCCAGCCGGGTCTCGAACCCATGGGCTCAGGCAATCCACTAACCTCAGCCTCCCAAAGGCGCGGGATTACAGGCTGAGCCACCAAGCCCGGCTAGTAGGATTTTAACTGAATATTATTTGGATTTAATAAAATACGAAGTGAGAGTATAGACAAAATTATTAAGCAAGTAGATGAAAAAATAGAACAATATTGGAAAAATAGGAACAATACTGGAAAGTGAAAGTAGTCCTGCAAATTACATGCATGACTAGCCAAGACCTTTAATTTATTAATGTAAGTTGAAACATTTTCCTGCAAACCATTTATAACTGTGCTTTAACAGGAAATATAGCCACCGTGACAAAGTCTGAAGAAAAACTGAAAACATTAGAGACGTGTAATTAGGTTGTAGCCCAAATTGAGAACTTAAAACAGGTAAATATCGGCAAGTTATACTTTTACAACAATTGATAACCCAGGTTATTTTGTTATTTATCTTGTGTTGGATTAATAATCCTTGGGCTTAAAAGGAGATTTTGAAGTCTGTAACTTGGCAGTGAAAAGCATTATAGTTGATTATAAACCACTGTCAGTGAAATTAATTTACCTGTCCTGCAGGCAGTTCAGAAGGGGGTGAGCTAAGTGTGGTTCCTGAAGCTTGTTTTTCCCCCCCTCTGTTGTTTAAAGGAGAAAATTGTTTTATTATACAGTCTAGGGGACTGGAGGGTCAAGAAGCCTGTGACCCCATATTAAATGACAAACAGACAAACAAAACATAATGACAATAAGACATGTCCAGACCAAGTGAGAAAAGTTATGGATTCCTGGCATAGCCCCAAGGCAGAAAATCACAGATTCCTGGCATAGCCTCAGGGCAGAAAACCAGAGGACTCTATTCAGCCAACGTCTTGGCCAAATGAATAGTGTCCAAAGGGTGGCCTTGTCAGGCCACAAGCAAAACAACAGATTTTTACTGGTAAACAGAACAAATTCTTACCTCCCGGGAGGATGTAGATGGACTCAGGTTTCTTTGAGATGAGAGGAGTCAGCAGTTGTTCCAACTCCTTCTGAGCCAGATGAGTGGTTATGGGGCCCTGAATAACTCAGGGGGCACCTCCCCAATAACTCACCATTGGACTGGGGAGAGCTGGAGCGAGGTTTGTCTCCCAAAGTTGAAAACTGCTCACTGGGGCCTCCAAATGTTATGACCGAGTAAATGAGAAGAAGTTACACCAGCAAGTTGAGTCTAATTAATTATGAATTTATTAAGCGCATGGGTCAAGAATAGGCAAACGCCAGAAAAACTCTTGGCAAATTGGTGCAGTTTGTGACAAGCTTTTATAGGTAAAATTTGCAGCATTGGTTACATAGCAATTTAGTGACCATAGCAACTATTAACTAATGACTTGGCAACCAAAATGGGAACTTTGATTGTTAGGGAGCTTTGATTAATTTTATGTCAGGTAGGTATAGCCAGTGCTCAGAAGTCCCTGGAGTTCTGCTATTAAGATATAGTTTAAGGTAGTTACATAGAGACAAAGAAGAATTATTATACAATGGAGTTACCTTGGTTAGGTCACCAACAGACTATAAGAACAAACTATGGCAGGGCTCGGTGGCTCAGCCTGTAATCGCACACCTTGGGAGGCTCAGGTGAGTGGATTGTCTGAGCCCACGGGTTCGAGACCTGCCTGGGCAACTTGATGAGACCACATCTCTACAATAAATAAAAAAAATTAGCCAGGTGTGGTAGCATGCGCCTGTAGTTCCAGCTACTTGGAAGGCTGAGGCGGAAGGATCGCCGGAGCCCAGCAGGCGAGGCTGCGGTGGCCGGGAGCGGCCCTGCACTCCAGTCTGGGCGACAGAGTGAGACTCCAACTGAACAAAAAAAAAAAAGAACAAACTATGAAAATATCAAAGCGTAACATTTGATTTCAGTTAACAAAGCATACAATTACATGGAAGCTATGGCAAAGGAGTTCTGTAATTGTCAGCAGGCAATGGTCAGCATAACCTGCCGAAAGGAGACAAAGCTGGGGGTCTGTGGTCATGGGAACTTTACTGTAATCACACATAGGGACCGATTCTCAGATCAGGCAGGTAACTAAGATGAAAGTTTTAAACAAAATGGAGTAAGCTGGTTAATATTATTACTTTGCTAGCAATTTAATTTTATTAACGAGGATCATGGGGGGCTTACCACACAGTTTTTGCCTTGTGCGAGCTAAAGCCTGCATGCCTAGATCCATTTTGATGAAGAGCTCAGATGCCAGGAAGTGGGGCCGTTTCAGCACCTCTTCATCTTCCCAGCGCTTTCTGCTCTCTAGGACCACAAACCGCCCCTTTGGCCTTGTGTACGTCAGATACTCAAAGATGGCCGCCCTCACTGTGGCGTACAAGGGCGCGGCCATCTTACTTCCAGGCCAACACCGGCAACCCGACTGGGTTTCGCATCTGACCCTCGTTAGTCGCCGTAGGGCAGTAAGGGGACTGCGCGCCTAGGCCAGGAGCGAGGTAAATTCTGGGCAGTACTTTCACCCCCCCCC